ATATATATGATGTTGCACAGTATATGTATTTTAAAGTTTTGTTAGGATGGAAATGATCTGCTCGTGCATTACAATTTTGTTTTTTATGATGTAAAATTTAACAGGTTTTAATTTGCTTATACGTAAGAAGCAATATTACTTCAATAAAAACAATGGATTTAAACAAAAGGAACGCTGTAATTGATATTAGTAATAGTAGATGGATATGCTCGCTAAGGCTAGTCGAGTTGGTTGGGCAGGAGATCTCCCAAATGGGAGTTTGTACGTTCAAAATTCCCTGCATGCTTTCTGCCTCAAGCTTGTCATACCAGACTTGTCTATCACATTGGAGCGATGTTTATATACATACATACGTATATAAATACCAAATTATTATGTACCAAGAAATTCTTTACTTTTTGAGTTCGAACACGAGACTCTTGATTAAGGATGTACCGTATAGACTCTAACCATCCCACTACAGTACTGTACGTTGAAAAACAAGTGTTTAATTCGATTCAATTTGTTAGAAAACAAAGGGAATTACTAGTTTGACTTAGAAGGATGGATATTTTTGAATTTGCAAATACTAGTAAATTAAAAGTAGTGAATATTCTGGTCCACTTATCACACTAGAAATTCTTAAGAGGGCCCCACTTCTTTTTCCATAATTTTGTCATAAATTAAATAGACATCTTTATGACTATATATATATCTAGCCCTTTATCCCCCTATTTGGAGATATAGACACATGTAAAAGATATATAAAGGAGAGGAGAGGTGAGAAACAAAACCAACATATATATATATATATATATATATATATATATATGTGTGTGTGAATATCAAGTTATATATTATATAGACTAAATATGGGTAAAGGAAGAGCACCTTGTTGTGATAAAAGTAAAGTGAAGAAAGGGCCATGGACTCCTGCTGAAGATTTGAAGCTTATTTCTTTCATTCAAAAAAATGGCCATGGCAACTGGCGATCCCTCCCCAAACAAGCTGGTAAGATTTGTAGTTCCGACATGTAGTCTTGGCGTGACTGGTAAAATTGTTGTCATGTGATCAGGAGGTTATGAATTCGGGCCATGGAAACAGCCTCTTGCAGAAATGCAAGGTAAGGCTGTTTACAATAGACCCTTGTGGTCTGGTCCTTTTCCGGACACCGCACATAGCGGGAGCTTAGTGCACCGGGCTAGAGAATGGTTCCCCTACGTAGCCTTGGTGTGACTAGTAAAGTTGTTGTCATGTGACCAGGAGGTCACAGGTTGAATCCCGTGGAAACAACTATCCTCTTGCAGAAATGTAAGGTAAAACTGCGTACAATAGACTCTTGTGTTCCTGTCATTCCACGAACCCCGCACATAGCGGTAGTGTAGTGGATCGCTGCACCCCTGTATAAAGGGGGAAGGGCCCCAAAGGTATAACGTAGGAAGTCTATCATGATACAAATATTAGTGGCTAATTCCATGGCTCAAACTCGTTACCTATAGATCACATGGAAATAACTTTACCTTTGCTCCAAGACTCTTCTTCGGTCCATATATTCCAACTATATGTTTAAGAATTAATTAGATCTTTATATTATTCTTCCTGAGTATCTCTATGTTGTCATTCTCCTACATAGCATATCCTCTAATAGTATCAAAAAGATTTAGCTTATATATATATACCGAGAACGTAAACATTTAATGTTTTTAACCTGTTGTAGCAGGTAACACTATATCACTATTCTACTTTTTAATAATGGACGGGTGCATGTAGTATTTTTTATTATCGGATAGTGTAATTTTTTTTTTTTTATGAAGTTAAACTCATTTTATTAATAATGTCAATATTGTGGATTTATAATATAGGGTTACTGAGGTGTGGAAAGAGTTGCCGTTTGAGGTGGATTAACTACTTGAGACCTGACGTAAAGCGAGGGAATTTCACTCCAGAAGAAGAGAACACCATAATAAAGCTACATGACTCTTTGGGGAACAGGTATATACAAATATATAGTCCTCTACAAGCTTGTCAAATATATATAGTAGTAATAAATTTTGTCTTTGCTTTAATTATTCATCACAGGGGTGGCGAATGGGTGGGTCGGGTAGAATATGGACGAGTCAAAAATGGGACAAGAGCATATATAGTCATTTTTGGGATGCTATTTAGAAACAACAACAACAACAACAACAACCCAGTGTAATCCCACAAGTGGGGTCTGGGGAGGGTAATATGTACGCAGACCTTACCTCTACCCCGAGGGGCAGAGAGGCTGTTTCCAGGAGACCCTCGGCTCAAAGAGGCAACAAGAGACACTATATTAGTACTATCAATAGACTCATAATAAAACAACATAAAGTACCATAAAATCCATAACATAACATAAATACCATAAAAACAAAGTAACAACAATATAAGAGATATAGGAAATACGAGAAAGATGTAAGGTATTAATACACAGGAGATAAAGCCCATCATCAGTAGTTGATCAATAGCATCCTAAGACTACTTCCTAACTGGCTAGTCTCACTCTAGTGCGCTGTAACAAAGACATCACAATTTCCCTAACCTACCACCTTAATGCTCGATCTCCACAATTCCCTGTTTAGGGCCGTGTCCTCAGTAACCCTAAGTCGCGTCATATCCTGCCTGATCACCTCTCCCCAATACTTCTTAGGTCTCCCCCTACCTCTCCTCGTACCCACCACTGCCAGTCGTTCACACCTTCTCACCGGTGCATCAGTGTTCCTCCTCTGAATGTGCCCGAACCATCTGAGTCTTGCTTCCCGCATCTTGTCCTCCATGGGGGCCACACCCACCTTCTCTCGAATATCTTCATTTCTAATCTTATCCTTCCTTGTATGCCCGCACATCCACCTCAACATCCTCATCTCTGCAACTTTCATCCTCTGGATGTGTGAGATCTTCACCGGCCAACACTCGGTCCCATACAACATAGCAGGCCTAACCACTGCCCTATAAAATTTACCTTTCAGTAACAGTGGCACTTTCTTGTCACACAGGACTCCCGTCGCTAACCTCCATTTCATCCACCCCACCCCTATACGGTGTGTGACATCCTCGTCGATCTCCCCGGACCCCTGAATAAACGACCCCAGGTACTTGAAACTACCCCTCTTAGGGATGCTATTTAGAAATTAGCAAATATTTATTTTTGTCCTGAAATTTTAAATTAAAAATCTTAACTTTAAGACAATTCAAGATATTCTTGTCCCGAAAAATTGAATTGAAAAACTGAAATTCAGGATGCATTGGCTAATTCTTAAATAACAGCCCCTTAGAGTGGCTACATGGTGTCACTTCTACATCGAAAACGGAAAATGCAAAAACGGATAAATTTTCCGACCAGATCCATATTTAATAAGGATAGAAAATGGGTTAATATAGGTAACCATATTATCCATGGCTTTTTTAATATGATCACTTTTGAGAGAACTCCTAGTCTCCTAAGTTTGAACCCCCAATTTGAGCATTTACAAATGTAAAGGTTAAACCAATTAGTTATCCATTGGTACGGTTATCCATTTTCTAAGTGGGTTCTTATCCAAATTTGACCCGTTTTTAAAAAATTCATTATCCAACCCTTTTTTAGTGTATAATATGAATGGATATCTATTTTTTTTTTTAAATCCATTTTGTCACCACTAATCACATGCATTAATAAATGCAGGTGGTCAAAGATTGCATCTTATTTGCCTGGAAGAACTGATAACGAGATTAAAAATGTGTGGAATACTCATTTAAAAAAAAGAGTAGGGATATTGAACAAAGATATCAAGATCAATACTACTACTACACAAGAAGAATTTGAAACCAACAATAAGGGCCAATATATAGATGTTGCTACTAGTTTAGTTGAAGAAGCCACAGCATCTGCAGCAGGTTCTTGTTCTCCAACTTCTTCCTATGGATCATTAAACCTCTGCAACTTGAGTACTGATCACGTTCGCGCAGCAGAGGCTTGCGACAACCAAGATCAGGTGATTAATGAAATACCATCAGATTCAGCAGGGACAGATATTGATTTTTGGGACATGTTGGATACTGATTTGAGTCCTGATTTAGACTACTCCAAAGTACTGGACATTTACAGCAATCACTCTGATCAGTCTCAGCTGCAGGCGCCTCATTATACAAATGAAAGCTCGTCAGATCAACATGATGAATGTCAAAAGTGGTTGAGATACCTGGAAATTGAACTTGGACTAACTCAAACTAGTACTACTACATATACTGGAGCTAATTATTATGAATGTTGCGACGGTTTTACCACACAAGACCAAAATAACACCATGCAAGTTTAGGCTTCAGCTAGGCCTTTTTCACCTCCATTTATACATCAATAGTATCTATTACTCCTACTATACTAATTACTAGCCCAGGTAATAAAAAGACTGTATAGTAGTAGTAGTATTTTGCATCTAGAACTAAGACTCGCTTGTCTTCTTACCTAGAAATAAAGGGATGCTTGTTAATCCACACTAGTTACTGGCAGCTCAGTTCAGTCATCTTGTTGTTATTTAAAGGGGATAAGGCATAAAATCCTCCTGAACTATACCCGAAGTTGCTACGACACACCTTACCTTTGATGTCACAGCAACATCGAATATAGTTCAGGGAGGATTTTAACATATAGTGGTACATATGGTGCATGAGTCAGACGATCGAGTAGTTCAATTAGACTCATCACACCACTCATGATCTTCTAAGTGTAATACTTTATTTATTTAAGCGCTTAGACTTGAGAGTTGATTTCTCTTCCTCTTGTACTACATTTAACTTGTGAAAATCTATGAGGCATATATATGCAAAAACTAGCAGTAATATATTGACTAGTGTGTATGTTCCCTTAACTGCCCAAAATAGTTTTGCGTGCATTCCCTAAAGTTTATACAACGATGGGAATTGGAAACAAAAAATCTATTTTCAAAAAAATAAATTGAAAATAATACAGCTGCTGTTTGGGTCTTTGGGACTTCACTGCATTCCCGAAAATGAGAATTGAGATCGAAATTACAGCCAAAATGAGGACAAGTATTTATACAGCTGCTGTTTGATGTATAGGTAGTACTCCTACAAGGCTACGACAAAGGCAGCACTATCTACTATGATGATGCATGAAAAGGGCATTCTGATATACGTTTACAACTTACTAGGCATGTAACTTCAGAAACATGATACCAAGTCTCATTACGGTAACACATAATACCTGTCCTATCTTTTGAACAAAAATATCAGTATGGGAGCTAGTGGGCGATTCAACAGTTGTAGTTTGCAGCAGTTCCAACTCTCAACAGGTAATCCGGAAGCAAAACCTTCAATCTTCTCAAACTCCTCCCTACATGATAAACAAATGTAAGTATTTTTGTAACATAGTATAGAACCATTGAAAATAGAAGACCATTACACGCGCGATGATAAACAAATGATAATCATACAGCTACGTTGCTTATACAGAGGTCATCATTTGGATGATGGGAAAGGCCATTGACGCAAAGCTATCGAACTGATATAGTCAAGATGCTTGAACATATAGTCAGCAAGCGGCTACACGAAAACTCTCAAACAATAGAAATGGGAATACTTTCAGCTGAAAAATGAACATAAGGCTCAAGAATTCACCTTCCACCGGGATGGCCCACATAAGTTACAATGCTGATGAGTCCGCCAGGTGCTAAGATTCTCTTAGCAGCCTCTAATGCAAGCACAGTTGTTTCAGACCTGGTAATGAGCTTTTTGTCACCGCCAGGGAGGTAACCCAAGTTGAAAGCAACTAACCTGACAGAAGCATTGGGCCAAAAAAGAACTGGAGGTGATCATTGGGATGCTTAGATCACGACAGAATAGGTGCAGCTCTGTCACTAAGATCACTTCACAGAAACTAGATGATATATACATTCAGTGTGTAAGCCATTAAAATCCTTTTGAGAAGCAAGAATACCTTACAGCCACATCATTCGGCACAATGTCCTCAATTTGACTATGACACATAACAAATAGCTCAACAAGTTCTTTCTGCATGACAAGGACAACAGATGTGCTTCAAATGTATGTATGATGTGGAAGAAAAACTATCATTTTCGGAAGAGAGGAGCATGATTACAGAAAAGTCAGAGCCATAATCATGTGAAAACAATTTGTAGGTAGAAACAGTTGAATGTCAAGAAAAGAAAACAGGAGCTGCCATTTGACTCCTCCTGGATGCTAAATCCATTTCATCACATTTTCATGAACTAGAATGAAATTGTAATATTTATCTACCCCACAAGACATTGGTTAATAGGGTTAAATCCGTTCACCCATGTGTAAGCACTAACGAGTAACGAGATTGAGCTTGCAAACTTCTCCAATTGAAGTCTTATATGAGCTTCGCTGTTCATAAGCACACTTATGAGATAAATTATACTACATCTTATATCAGTTGTATTTGGACTGAAAAAAGGCTAGGGAAGCCTTGAATTTGGGTGGCAGAGGGAATGGTCCCTGCCTAGGTTAAGCATAGTATAAAAGACTACCATTACTTCATTAGTGATTTTGGCTGGTTCTAGTAATTCTGGAGATGGATGTAAGTTGCCAGGCAAGACGCCACAACCGGCCTTTTGAAGGAGGGAAAAGTGAAAGTGAGGGCTGAGATAGACTACTTCACTCTTTTAAGGCTGCATTATATAAAGTAAGATTATACAATATAAAGCAAGCAACTGTTTGGCTAACTATGTGCTTAGATCATAAGGTATAGATAGCTTTAAACCAAACGGAGTTTCAACTTTATGGGAATATGTATCCAAACCACCATTCTCTCTAGCTTCCTTCTACATAGTCAGGACGATCTACTTATTGGATCATTCGGTAAAATGGCAACATTAATTAGGGCCGGAGATACAAAATAGCAGAAGCAATAACTCGACCTCATCTGGACTAGCAAACTGGTCCAGTAGGGATGAAGTGCTTTCTAAAGCAATTTTCTGGACATCCATGCCATAAACTCGACCTCTCCCGGTGCTGTCAGCAACCATTCTCAATAGTGCCAAAGTATCGTAACCATTTCCACAGGTGGCATCAACAACTGCATCCCCTTTTTGAACAACTTGCTTCCAGACACTGCCATGGGTTATACGCTGATTAAATTATATAATACCTTGACATTACCAATTATAGAAAGAGGTAAGCCACCATTTGTGGTCTAGTATAGTCATACCGCTATTAAAGTCAAAACAAGGCAATGCAGACTTTAACTTCTTTAACTTCTAAAAGTGCAAAAACAAAGCAATTGCTAGAAATTACAACAACAACAACAAAGCATTGGGATCGGCTATATGATCCTCACTGATACAGAGTAAGGAACTTGCGAACAGAACTTAAGAGTTCAGAATTCAAGTTGATAGTTGAAAAATATAAGACAAACACTAACAAGAGAAAGCAATTTCAAGCAATTTATCAACTTTATTATTGATGGCACTTCATTCGAATCTATACAAATGACAAAGGGTTAATCCCGCTGAGCAGTTTCTCACAGCATATAACAAATTATTCCATTATACTTGTGACCAACCAAATTTCCAAGTAGAAAACTTTCTGTAGGAATATCACAACAACATAAAGAAATTAACAGCTTGTTTGGATGGTTGTTATGTATCTTTGATGTATAGAATGTTTGGTTAGATTGTATTGTTTGCGGTTGTTTCATGATGCCATGCACCAATAATATAAAGTTTAAACTTGCAATATTATTATAAAAAAAAAAAGGTAAGATATGAGGTAGCATTATTATATAAAAAGGTAGGGTAAAGGATAAAATATGATTATTTAATAATAAGGAATGACAAGATTTTTAAAAAAAGGTAACGATGCAACCACACAAAATCGGTCCTTCCATAAAGTAAAACGACGGATTCAACGAAACGTTACAATAAGGTTTAAGTAACAATCAAAACAAACATTGTATTTAAAGTAATAATACGATACAAAACAACAGATGACAACCATCCAAACAAGCTGTAAAAACAGCTGCTTCCACTTGAAGAAGGAACTCTTTTGCACATTGAAAGGAGGAAAATGTACCCAATTAATGTTGAACCACAAACGTAGGCTCTAAAATAGCTGAATAAAAATGGATTGGAGTACCTACTAGTGAGCAACTTCAGTAGCTTTTTTTCTCCCAAATACATATTCCACCATTACTTGCTCCATAGACCCTGAGAAAATCAAACCACAAGTCACAAATAAATTACTTGATTTCTACAACAGTGAAAAGAAAAGAAAAAAGAAAACCTGAAATGGGGGATTCGCGGGAAAGATAGCTCGACCAAGAACCGTCAGCTCCAGCTACTGAAATGGAAGCTCCATTGGGCTCCGACGAATTCGCAAATACTTTTATATTTCTAGAATTTGTCTTCAATGGCGATAATGAGGGGCAAATATATTGGTTTAGGTTCCATTCGCATTTCACCATTCTCCGACCTAAGAGCGAAGAATACGAGTAGAAGAGATTCATTTGCAGCGAATCGACGGCAGTTGCCGGTCACGTTAAGGATAAACTCAAAATCATGCGAGGTAAGGCAGCGTTTGGCATAGAACATTTATGACAACAACAATAGTCCCTTATGTTTTGATTGGGTTTTGAAAAACATCCTTTAAATATATTTTTAAGCACTTTTAGTCCTCTAAATTTATTAGAAATGAGCAATTTTAATCTTCACGAAGTTAAATACCAACTTCAAAGTTATTGGTAGAATTAGCACTTTTAGGAGTGGATTATTTTCCGGTGCTGGATATTTTGAGTAGGTGAAGAAATCGACTACAGGAGATTTAGAATTACTAGATATACAACAAATGAATAGAAGCATCGGCTGAAAGGTAGAGAGGTTGTTTCCAGTGGACCATCGGCTGAAAAAAAACATGTAAAGAGAAGCATTAACGATAATAAAAGAATACAAAAAATATGTAAAAGAGAAGTATTAACGATAATAAAAAAATAAAAGAATTACTAGATATGTAGCTAGAATTTATTTCAGGAGAGAGGAATAAGGTGCAAGATATTTTTTTCGAATATATTGTCTATGAAAAAACTGGGAGAGATTACATTACAGATATAGACAAGAAACATAGTATTTAGTTTGAGTTAATATCCTAAAATTCGCCGAAACTATACAATTTTTGTTAGGTGTCTACCTAAACTATCGTCTGTTCCCGAAAATCCCATGAATTATATCCCCTTCATAATAAAACCCCCTCGTTGTTTATGTAGCATTATGCGTGTAATAGATCATCCAAGAGCGCGTGAATGGGTAAAAAAGCCATTAAAATGGCGTGTCTAAATAACTAATTAGCCCTTGTTTTTTAAATTTATATTTCTTTTTATTTTCTCATATTTTTCTTTATATTTCACCTTCCTTCCTCATTTTTTTCCCTTTCTTCTTCATTTTTTTTAACCTTTCTTCCTTTGAATCCATCTAAAATTCACTCGATCTTATTATTTCTGGTTTTATTTCTTATCTTTCTCATTTTATATATTCTTCATTTCTTACCTGAATTTATTTGAAAGAAGGCACATTCGTTCAAGTGTAGAGTATGAGGTTTAATGCCTTTCAAGAATTTAGGGAATAAAGAAATAGGACGATTTAGGTATCTCCTTTCGACAATCATCAGAATATTGGTCTATCAAAACCCTAATCTTCTATATTAATTTAGAAGTAGAAACCCTAGTTTCTATCCCTATTTTCAAACTGAAGCAAGAATAAACAATGTAATCGAGGTTAGAACTAAGATTAATGGAGAAAATCACTACTGAGAGATTAGTGTAGCTATTAAGATAAATAATTCACGTAAATTTCCACGTGGTAGATTTTAAAAATGATTTGGAGAGTGTATTACACTCACTAGTAAGAATGCGACCAGGAAATTTTATTATGAAGGGGATATAGTTAAGAGGGTTTTTGGAGACATGTAATAATTTGGGTAGGCAACTAATAAAGGTCCAATAGTTTAGACGAATTTTAGGGTATTATCTCATTTAGTTTTAATGGTTAAGAATGACATAAAACATGAGTATATATTAAAAATTGCAATATTTTAAAATTCAAATATTGTAATTGTGTTGAGAGGTATTTTCAAATGAGTTTTCGGTCCAAACGGGACCTTGGGTGGAGCCGGATCGGGTCGGCTATTTCAGGTCTTCGCACAAGGGTTTTGGTTCGTTGTAAGAAGGGTATCAGTATATGAATAGTGACGAGAATTTACTGAAGACCGCAGGCAGAAGCGCAAAACCCTGCCTTCCACTTCAATTCCCCCGCCTTCTTCTGCATCCTGCTCGGCATCGTCGCATTTCATTGTTGTAATTTGTAAAAAAAGGAATGAGCAGTTGGAAGAGCTTGCTTTTGCGACTCGGCGAGAAGTGCCCTGAGTACGCCGGAAATGCCGACTTCAAAGACCAAATTGTCAGTACACAACTTGCTCTTTTATTCCTATGATGAATGCTGCTTTCACTTGTTCTAGCCGTTTTTCAAAGCTTGCTTTTTAAATCCTTATACATTTGCTATTGTAGGAGGCATGCTATAGTGCAGTTCGCCGAGAATTAGAGCATTCTGGAGATGATATTTTTCCCGTAAGATGTCATTCTATTCCACTTATTGCTCACTGTGGCTGTTTTTGGGTTTTCTTCTTCTTTTTTATAATGTAGAGAGCCCCTGTGAGTTAGTTGGCCCAACCCTAACTGTGCCCACTCATTAGTAAGTATGACCACACCTCCACTCTACTCCCACTTAAATACCAAGATTCAGCTAGTAGCGAAACTTGTAAGGTGCACCTAACCCATAATACTTCATGCTTTGCGCCCTTATCACCCAGCCAAAGCCCTGGGGGCCTGCCTCCGGTGGCGGAGCCAGGATTTTTACTGTGTGTGTTATATATAAATATTTTTTTGTTACCTAGTTACACGGTGTAACTTTCATCGTTGACACACTTGAATACACGTGGCTGTCTGCATCTTCTTGCTCATTGTTGTTGTTGGTTATCAAGTGCGAACCTAGTTTCTGATTCATCTGCTTTTTCCCTTGATAATTTTTGCTCAATGTGTCAAATAGAGCATTATTTCTGTCTTAAGTAGTGTTGGGCAAAAATAGTGGTAATCAACCCTCTTTTTTAGACCACATGTAGGGGCTGGTGCGGGAGGGAAATTGGAAAGGTTCCTCCTTCCTGTAGCGACCAAACATGATATAACCTTAGAAAAGAAAAAAGAAAATGGTCTATGTGAATTTTCAATTCCTTCTCCTTAGGCTTGTTATATATGAAAATGTTCTTGCTCAGCTGAAAGGCGATGCTCCTGGTGGTTATCATTGGGTCAAATAATAGTTAGATACTGATAGAATGGAGGAAGTTGGAATTTAATGCCACTGGAACTGCAGTTGAGGTCCAAAGTCATTGCTTCAATATATTTAGAGCTGTTACATTTCGGAATATCTGGGTTCGCTTATTCAGTGCTAACATAAAAAGAATTTTTTTGATTAGTTTCTTATGTGTGGTGAACTGAACTCATAAAATGTCAACGCGTCCTCCACGTGGCGGTTCTACTAGTTGTGAGAAATTTTCTTGGCATGTTGCTCTGCTTTGCAATGCATTGTTTTTGGCATTATGTTTTCATTGGGGTGTTTACATGTAATGTAGTTGGAGAACCCGTCTTTGCAGCTATCTCTATAATGTATCCAATCACTCCCTTTATTTATGGAAGGGTA